GCCGGCGGGCGCTACAGGGATGTGCGCGCGCACGACAGACACGCGGGCACCAGCACCGGCCCAGACCCTTCTCCAACGCAGACCGCGGCGCAGAGGCGGGTGGGGGGCACACCGCGTGCGCGGAGGGCACCCCAACCTGGGGGAAGGGGCCAGCCTCTCCTGCCCACACTCAGGCTGCAGCCCTGCACCCGCCTCGACCTGGGGGCCGCGGGGTGCAAACACCAGGCACCTGCCGGCCCGGAGATTCAAGCTCGTGCTGCCTGGCCCAGCACAGGGCCGGGCGGACGGGGCGCAGAGGCACTGTCGGGGCTCCCTGGCCCCTGGCGGAAGCACCAGACGACGCCTCGCTGCCTGCACTTGTGAGCTGAAGACTCGGTTGAGCTCCTTCACAGCAAGCCCCACCCGGGGGCCCTCTGGCGCCCGACAGACGGCTCTGGGGGCTGAGAGCACAGACCGCCTGCGGGGAGAGCCTCCAGGCGCAAGCCTCCAGCTGCTACTTGGAAATAGGCGGAAGCTCCCTCGGGCTGCAGGCCCAGAGGCCCAGCCTCTGCGCGGCCCGCTGCGCCCCCCGGGCCTGGCCAGGACGCACAGGGGGCCCCCGGTACGCGAGCTAGAACTGGGTGACCCGCCGGTGCCCGCAGCCACCACACCCGGTGCAGGCAACCTGAGTCTGCCTGTGTGCGTGACGGGGGCGGGGTGGGGGGCTGAGCTGCCGCTCGCGCCCTCGGGGTCCTCCCTGCGGAGCCAGGCGCCCCGCAGCTGCACACGCAAAGGCAGGGGGCCGACACCCCACAGACAGCGCAGGGCCCGCCCCACGTGCCACCGGCAGACTCACTTCCGCGCCGCGGGATGCCATAGGGGCCAGTGTCCGAGGCACACTGGCGACTGGGCTCCCCGCGCTCTTTCCGCCCGCCCGCCCTCTGCCGAGGTACCCCTACTCCCCCGACCGAGGCCTGGCCGTCCCCTCAGCGCCGCGCCCCACGCCTCTCCGGCTCCCCACGCCTCTGCCGGCCACCAGCCTCGTGCAGAGGCCAGGGTTCTCCCGACCCCCCGGTCCCGGCTCCGGCGAGCGTGCCCCGACGCTGGCACCCTCCAGAGAAGGCGGCGGGCGCCCGAAGCCAGGCAGCGGCCCCCCGCCCCACACGCCCGCCGGCAGCGCCTGTCGCCTGACGCTGGAGACGCCCCCCGCGAGGATGGGGTGTCCGCGGCGAGGGCTGACGTGTGAACTGCCCCCAGCTTGCAGGACGCGCGGGGCTTCAGCTTCGGAGAACCACTGAAAGGAGAGGGCCTCGGACCCGGGCGTCCACGCAGCGGCCCTCCCCCGCCGCGCCGCGGGGCTGCAGCTCAGACAGCGCGGGCGGTGCGCGCCACACCTGGGGCCACACGTGGGCGCACGACAGCACGAGCAACAGGAGTGCCGCACGGGCCAGTGGCCACGAGTAAGCGCCACGCGCACCCTGCCACGCGCTGACACGCACACTGGCACACATGTGGCCGCCACGCATGCACCCCACACACGCTGACACACATGCACCCGCCACGCACACGGCCGCCACGCACACACCACGCCATGCGCCCTGCCACACACGCTGACACACATGCGCCCGCCACGCACGTGAGCGCTCGGGGCCAGGGAGGTGGTTCCGCAGCCGGGGCCCCCTCGCCGCCCCCCGCCTGCACCCACA